TCTCTCTTTAGAATATTGAGTATTGCTGACTTGAGCGTCGGAGTGTTTTCCCCGAGGAAACAACCTCGGGATTTTCAGGTGTAGAAGCAGCTGAGGACTTCAACAGTGTTGGACTGCGAAGCTGCCGAAACACCACTCATTGCTTCATTGTTCTCTTTTTTTAGAGTGAGCTTCATTGTTCATTGATCCACGGGGCACTGGGGGGTTTGTACCATAATCAACACTAGCTTGAGTTCCTTTTATCTCTTTTTTTCTTCTCACTGGGGAGGTGATGACTCCCTAGTCGTCTAGACTTATTATAAGGATGCAGATGCAATGATAATTCTCAATAATCTCAATTTGTAGTGATTAAAACAAATATTAGTAATGCACCTCGAATTTATTTTATTTAAATAAAAAAATTAAATTATCAAATAAATCAAAAATTTAGGTCAAATGTTAAATCTTTTGCCATGTAAGCATGACATGGCAATATTTTTACCATCCAAGCAGCCAAGCGGGGTGTGTCCTCAACGGCAATTAAGTCAGGCGAGCAATCCCAAACGGCAATTAAGTTGGAGTAAGAAGAAGGGCTTAATTGCTTTGATCCTAGAGTTCAAGGGTTTAACTGTATCAATTAAAGTTTAGAGGCTTAATAGCGATTCTGGGATTAGTTCAGGGGCTTAACTATGGTTTTGCCTTTTTTTTTTAGCTGGAAAAATATCTTTGATTCTCTCCAACATATGTGGGTGTACTGTAACACTCAATGGAATAAACAGTATTGATCCATGGAATCGGTTTCTCACCTCTATTTCAAGTTCCAAACATCAATCATCTCCATTTTTGTAGGGATGCAGGTGCAATGGTACTGCCCAATGATCCCAATTTATAGGGATTAAAACTCATAGTACTGCACCATATGTTCAGTTAATTGACTTTAGTTGGCGTTCAGTTAATTGATTTTTTTTTTTTTGGTAATAATCAGTTAATTGAATTTAGTTGAATTAATTTTTTACTTTAAAAGTATTTGAAAATTTTTAAAAAATATATAACTTTAGTCTTGCTTGCGAGGGGTTGTTGTGTTGAGTTGAATTGCATTGTAATTTTGGATTTCTTATTTTTTAAATTATAAAAATATATAAAATATTAATTAAAATTAATTATTTATCATACATTTATGTTGTAAAATACAATATTATTAAAA